TGATCCAAATATGAGTCATGTGCTTCTGCTAGTATGGGCCCATACTACCTTCCACACCTACTCATACTCGTCACAAATGTTGTCTCGAAATTTTCCTAAGTTACTATTTCCTACAGATCACAAAAGAAATTTAACAGATATAGATGTGTCCAACTCATCATATACAACAAATTTCCTAGAGTCCACTATAATTTCTTCCATGTGTATCTTCAACCGCAATGCTAATTTCCAGCCTTTAGTATAAATTATTTCGCATGTAGTGTCTTGCTTACAGGCACACTATATCAGAATTTATTCTTAACCAAAGCCTTTTGTTGAAGTTGTAATTTCTTAATGCCACAAATTGATGTAACTTGACTAGAAACTTTATAACTTTAGAAAATGATTACAACATTTATGCATACATTATGCCCCTTATATTGGGCTTCACGTCCTATTACTATATATATATATATATATATATATATATATATATATATATATATATATATATATATATATAGGATGACTACTCATATATTGATCTTCGGACAAGCAGTTTCCTACTCTGGATTTCTTGCAATGACACACACTTCATCAAGGATCATTTGGTAGCTTTTACCCCTAGGCTTTGCTGGTAGTATCCTTGGGGTTTGTTTCTCAACTTTTAGGTACTCTACCTTCATGTGCCTTTATTCTCTGCAAGTGAAGCACATTCTTCCTTTTACTGGGCAGTTTATAGGTATATGGCTCGACTTCTTGCATTTGTAGCAGACGACAAAGTCGTCATAATGCCTCTTATTTCATTGGTCGCACCACTTCCCATCCGAGTTTCTCCTAGACTTGTGGCTTGGCTTTGAATACTTCTTTTTCTTGTCATCATTGTTGTTGTTGTTGTTGCTTCATTCAACTTTCCTCTTCTCACCGAGTTCAGCTTTTTTGATCATCCTTTTCTTCATCATCCCTTCAACATAATTTATAGCCCATATGGTCATCTCAAATGTATGTGCCTGTTTAATTGACATAGTGTACTCCCAAGGTAGCCCCTTGGCATACCTATCAATCTTGGTCAGTTCGTCCGAAACAAGTCATAGGTCGAAATCCATTTTATTAGTGAAGGCATTGGTTACTCATCTACTAATATGCTTCCCTTTGTGAAAGCCAGAAATTGATTCTCTAATTCCAACATTTTCTCAGTTGAACAAAACTTCCTCTTGAAATGGGTCAATAATTCATCCCAATTCAGCTACAGTGGCTTGTTGGGGCTCACAGTCCTTTCTAAAGTGTTCCACCAACAAAGTGTTGTGCCATTGAACTCCCCCACATCATAGGCGGTTGGTAGCTTGCCCGAGCATCAACATGTTATGAAAGCCGACTCCATATCTGATATCCAATCTATGAGTCCTACAATATCTTCCTTCCTGTAAATTGATGATGGCATGCAACTCATGAAATTTGTATACTTGCAGTAGCCTCTTGGTTCATCATTTCTCTAGACCTCTAGTTACTTTAGTCCATGATAACTTTTCCAGTAGTCATTGTTTCCTTCTTGGACCGTTGTAGCATGTGAGGTAATCGGTCTATTATTTACTTTTTCAACAACAACTAGCTTCTTGATCATAGGTGCTCCTCTTCTCGCATTATCTAGTTCTTGAGCGAAGAGCTCCCTAAACTCACGTTGCTATTGATTCAACATTTCTTTCATCATTGCTCGTTCTTCATTCATCGGGATTTTAACATCAGTTGCTCTGACGTTTTGAGGTGCTGGACCTCCTTCACTATTGATGACTCTACTGGTCAGTTTGATTTTCATGATGCTCTATATACCTAACCAGGCGTTTAGCTTACCAAGATAGGAATATAGGTAGGGAAGGTTTACATACGAAATCATCCTTGTTACTACGAAAAGTTGTATGCCAGTTCTAATACTGTAATGAAACTTTTAGAAATATGAACACATAAAATTTCCTAATCCTAGGTTGGCAACAGAACTTAACTTTTCTCTTACTTAGCAATCTAGGTAAAAACCTAAGGAATTCTACACATATCATTTAGCACATACAAGGCATTTCTAAAGTATGTTAGTGCATAATATAGCAAATAAGGTATTTAACCTACATTATATATATATATATATATATATATATATATATATATATATATATATATATATATATATATATATATATATATATATATATATATATATATATATATGTTTTGGTGCACTTATTTTTAGGGTAAATTACACGAATGATCCCTATGGTTTTGGGTAACTTGCGCGTTTGGTCCCTAACTTATTTTTCTAACTCCGAAGGTCCCTACTGTTTGTTTTTGTTACACGTTTGGTCCCTATCTTACATAAAAAGTATATTTTTCCCTTGATTTTTTAATTTATTTAAATAAACACACCCTTAATCTCATCCTCTCTCCTTATCTTACCTACTCTATCATTTTTCTCTATTTAAATAATTGTCTTTTTACGTAAGATAGGGACCAAACGCGTAACAAAAACAAACAATAGGGACCAAATGTGAAGCAATAACAAACAGTAGGGACCTTCCGAGTCAAAAAAATAAGTTAGGGACCAAACGTGCAAATTACCCCAAACCATAAGGACCATTCGTGTATTTTACTCTTATTTTTATGATTTAGGAGTGATTCTACTAATTTTTCCTATTTTTCCTTAATCCGAAACTTGTATTATATAGTCTGTAGCACGCACGAGTATAAATTATCCTATTCAAGGATTTTAATTTTAATAATTATTACTTATTATGTGTAGCCTAATTGCGGGTGCTACGCTTTAAGGTCTCAAGTAGGCTCCTCGTGCCTCGTACGCGAGTTTTTTTTGCCATCTTTATCTCTTATCTTGGGTTTCATAGTAGCAAATCTGATAGGTCTCATTTTTCATTTCATAGTGGTAAGACGTTATTTATCTACTTGTATATATGGATAATATTACCTGCACTGCTTCTTCATCCACTCTTATCACTAAGGTTAGCACTCGTCTTTCCTCCGAGTTTTCAATGAGTGATCTTGGTCCTCTGTCCTTCTTTCTGGGTATTTTTGCTACTCATACCAACTCATCTGGCTTTCTCTCTCAATCTGCATCTTCTCAGTAGATCCTTACTCGTGTTGATATGGCCACATGTAATCCTTATAGCACACTAGCCGACTCCAAATCCAAGGTCTTGTCTACTGGACACTACTAGAAAAACATCCTTTTACGATGTGTAATGCGTGTCGTAAAACGCTCAGACGACGTGCAAATGCATGTCAAGGAAGGCCCTGTCATAACGAGAGACAACACGTTTTTGCGCGTCGTCTATAGATGCCGCGCATTTAAGACACGCGATTTACGACGCGTATTTACGACACGCAATGCATATCAAGGAAATCCCTGTCATAAAGGAAGACGACACACATTTGCGTGTTGTTACCTTACGACGCACATTTATGACTCGCATTGCGTATCATTAAAGCCCCTGTCAAGAAAGGTCATGTCATAAATGAAGATGACTCACATTTTTGTGTATCATAATTTTATATGTTTAAAAAAAATATTATTTATAGATTTACTAATTTTCAAATTAAATTTGCATTTAATGTCTCTTAAAAAATAAAATATCATATACAAAAATACAATCCATTGCATAAAATTTTAATGTCTTAGAAATAATCGTTCCATGGAAAGATAAAACAAATCAATAAAAGTTGTAACGGAAATTTACAAACTAATTAGATACAAGAAATATGAAAAACTTGAAATCTCTAAGATTAATAATTCTAACAGAAGCTTCACGTGAGATACATACAGTTAGACCGTAAGCAAGGATGTTCCTGAATCCACAATAGCAGCACAAGAACATGTACACGATATCTTCTGCAAGAAGGTGCCGGTCCAAAACTACTGTTGAAGGTTGCCATGATAGTTGTTAAGATATAAGCATAACAAGAAAACAATCAGTGACTATAATAAGCTAGAAAACAAGAAACTAATAAACAAAATAAGCAACTAATTAAGTCAAACTATGACTATGTATTGTTCATACAAGAAAAAGAAGGAAAAAATGTTGATTTATTGTTGTTCATACAACACTCTCCAAACAACACTTAATTGAAGAAAAGAATAAGGCTAAACTTACAAAGAAAAAGAATTCAGGAAGAAGACAAGTTTGAAAGCATACACAATAACTTTTATCTAAGCAAGTGTGATCTACCTGTAAACTTGAAAACGCAAAACTCTGACTCTCAATCAAATATTTCAGAATTTTACATGCTCCGGAGATTTTAAGAAACTGAATTTCCAGTCCAAAAATCAATCAACCAAAATTAATTGTAATACAAACAATTACTCTAATAATCCCGATTGTTGGGACTGGCATTTAGAATCCCACACAAAATGCAATCAAATGACTCAACTAATGGTCAAAATGTAGCAACTGTATTAAGGTAGATTTGAAAGTTACCAATATAAACAATGCTTTTTGTTATCTAATAAAGCTTATTCTTTACCACCTCCACACTCAATCTCCAGCTCTGCCTTTTTCATAGCAGGTGCTAGCTTATTCTTTACCACCTCCAAACATATACCAAGACCAATAACCTAAAAATAGATAAATTTCCTTTTATTATTATCATTATCATTATAATAAAACAATTATAATTATTTTAAACCTTTTCCTGAGTCTTGAGCAATCCTTTTCTAGCAATTATGAATGTCTATCCCTACCAACTATGCACAATTAATCAATGTCCTTTGGATGTAATAAGAAAGGAAAGAAAATAAACTAAACTTTGTTAAGCCACCAACTTCCTATGTACATAATCCATTCCATTTATCTGCTCCAGCGTTGCTAACCATAAGCTACACTCATCCCAGTAACTAGTCGTAAGATCCACTTATTTAAAAAAAAATAAAAAATTAACCCCTCAAGTCCTATGATGTTGATTGGAATGGAATCAGAAAAGATTACCCGAATCTTGAGGGCAGTAGAAAAGTCACCATTGGGCTTTGTTGGAACCACATTCGCCCCTCCTAATGCTTCCGATATCTCATTGAAAAGTTTGGTCAAAGTCCCAATAACTGCCCTTTGTTGGAATATCAAAGTCCCAATAACTACCTTTGATGGGATATTGGACACTTGAGCAGTCTGGACAGTTAGAGGGGCAACAAGAGGTGTGAGGGGCTTGGTGTTTGCATTTCATTTGAGGAACTTCTTTGTAATCATGTTTTGTGAAGACTTCACTTCACTTCCAGGTTTATTTGTACTACTGTCTGTGCTGCAATGAAACCAAAGAAGAAATTTCTTTTTTTGAGTAAATTACCTAAATACCCTCAGAATCGTAAATCATAATAACAAGTAACAGACCTTGTAGGAGGCAATGCAGAGGTCTGGCCAGATGGCATAGCATGATAAGCACCATCCATTGTGATATAAGATGAACCAACCAAAATCCCCAGTAGCACCAGCCAAAACAGGTAGGCTACAACAAAATTTCACAACTTTAACCATTTACTCACCTAACTATTATTATCTTAACTATTTATTTATTTATATATATTTAAAGTACCATGAGATTTCTGAATTTCCCATTCAATTGGGCTGAGTAACATAGCCAGGGAACATCATGCCAACAGCTAGAACTCCAAGCCCACCAGGATGCTGCCCCACAAATTGCACAACTGCAAATTTAATAACAGATTAGACACCATAAAAATTTAACATTTTTTTAATGACCAAATAGCCCTTGGGTTTACCTGGCAAAAACGTTGGAGCACCAGGGAAATTCTGATCACATGAATCTCAATGACCACCATCATGCTAAGAGAAAGCTATCAACCCCTGCCATATGTATATATATATATATATATATATTAAAAATTAATTGAAAAACTTCTAGTATTTCTGTTTCATCATGTATTAAAATCGCATGAACGGTTGAACCTCTCCATCAAGTGAAAAGCCAAAAATAGAAATTGCAGTATTCTCATGCATATAATATTAACCAACAACTATAACACATACATATAGTATTATAAATTACGACATTACCCCTTTCAAAAGCGAATTTGCTTCACTTGAGAAAAATCCTGGAAGCTTTATCTTGTCCTTCACTATTTTCTCCTGAATCTTCTGTCTGTTTCCACCTCTAAACGGAGGCTGCAAAGACACAATGTTGAACAAAATTACATTATTACCCTCTCTCTAAAAGTAAGGGGAATTTAATAGTAATTTATTAAAAGTAATTAAGGGTGACAGCACACCAACCTTTCCAGTAAGCATTTCATACATTAAAATTCCAAACACTCCACCAATCAGCGGCCTTATCATCCCCCCCCCCCCCCCCCAATGTCCCACACATGGAATTTGACCTTGTGCTTTCATCAAATTGATTTGGTACCCCAAAGTCAGTCAACATAACCTGGATAATAATAATTCAATAAACTTAAACCAAAACATTTTACCACAATAATAAACATCATCGTTTTAATTGTAGACAACAGATCCCTAAACTCAATATATAAAATAGGATATAAAAGAGAGGATGAGGATCTTCAGCATCTAGAATAACATTTTCAAGTTTCAGGTCCCTGTGCATTATGTCATTAGCATGGAGATGCGAAACAGCAGAAACTATCTCAGCATCTTTTAGCCTCTCCAGTTGAGAAATCACTAACATGCAACTGAGAATATGTGTCATAAGAGCTGGTATAAATAGATATCGAAGCTTCTTTACTGAAAACCAATGGTATTTACCGCATGAATTTGTGAATATAAATCTCTAATTTGAAAACAAAATACAGTAAGTGAACAAAAGAGCACAAAGAACTCACATGAGTTACTAATTTGTTAGAATTATCATTCCAACTAATTTATATAAAAGTCAATCAATTAACAAAATTATGGATATTGAAGATCATATATGAAAAACATCTAATAAACCATATTATGAAAACCCCTCAAATTACTCTTCATGTCCAGAGCGCACCCAAAATTACTATGATGAAAAACCCCCCAAACGACTCACAATATAAAAAGGGAGATGGAATAAACAAAAAAATTTAAAGCCCAACCAATTGAGAAATCAATAACCACCAACAGCTTTATGCATCTTGGTTGAAGGGAAGTAGGAATAGGTTCCAATTTGATATTTCATTTTCATTTGGTATGTCCATTTGAGTTTTGTGGCATTGGGCAGTTTGTCCCCAAAACTCCATCTTGTCATGAGGTCTTTCATTGTTTGATACCATTCCTATAGTAGAGTTAATAGGAGACATGATCACAAAAAGCAAAAAAGAACACAAAATCAAATCAGAGGAAAGTACTTACCAGGTGAGAAGAAAGGGCTCATCTAGCTTCTTAATCTTAATTAACTTTTATATGTTCTTGAAGCCATTTCTTTATTGCTACTTTGACATGACTTATCAGTTATCACCACCACTACCAAAATCTATGACTATAAACCACAAATGAAATCAAATCAAATCCTAATTTTATACAAATGAAAACTATATATGATTCCAAATCAAACCCTAAAATCGATATAAAAAAAAGTTAAGTCTTAAATCTTAGGTAAAATATTGCTCTGGAATGAACAATTTAGGAAAATAGATTACTATATTTTGTAACAAAAAAAGTGTTACAATTATGTTTTCAAAATTATGAAAGAAAAGAAACATAGGTTGTCCCATTTGCTTTTTAAAAGAAATTCTTAATTTTTTTTTAAAATTTATAGATAGCTGACAAAACTCTGTTTTTCCCTTTAACAATAGGTATACAAACAATTGAAGACTACAGATTTTATGCCATATCTGCTGAGTACCCTGAATTCAGCAACAAGGATAAAACTTTAGTTTTCCAATTTTCTATCAAACATGAGCAAAAGCTTGATTGTGGTGGTAGATACATGAAATTGCTTAGTGGTGATGTGGATCAAAAGAAATTTGGTGGTGATACCCCTTACAGGTTATTTACATATAAACACAAAATTTCTCTTTAATGTTTCTTATATTTTCTGCGTTTATTGTTTCCGAAAGTTTAATATTATCTTTGAATGTAGTATCATGTTTGGACCTGATATTTGTGGGTATGCAACAAAGAAGGTTCATGCAATTCTCACATACAATGGAGAAAACAAATTGATCAAGAAAGATGTTCCTTGTGAAACTGATCAACTTTCACATGTTTATACCTTTATTCTACGCCCTAATGCTACTTACAGTATCGTCATTGACAATGAAGAGAAACAAACAGGAAGCTTGTATAAGGATTGGGATCTTCTCCCACCATGGTAGATTAAGGACCCATAGGCCAAAAAGGTAAATTTCAAATGTTTTACATGTTTGTAGTGACTAAACAATGTTCTCATTTGGTTTTAATGCTACTAATTTTTGTATTGTTGAAGATGATAGCCTGAAGATTGGGATGAGAAGGAATACATTTATGATCCTGAAGATAAGAAGCCTGAGGTAATATAACATTAAAGGGCTTGTTTTATTTGTTGATTTTGTCAAATTCCATTTAGTTTGACGGATTCTCTCTTTAAGATCCAAGTGGAATCAAAAACTGAATATGCTCTCTTTGATTATCAAGGTTATGATGACATCCCAAAGGAGATTTCAGATCCAGATGCTAAAAAGGTGGGATTTTTAATTTTTAATTTTCCATTATTTTTTAATGTTATGTGATTTGTTAGTTTTTTATTATAATGAGCTAAAATTGAATCCAGAGGATTGGGATGATGAGGAAGATGGTGAGTGGACTGTTCCAAATATTCCAAACCCTGAATACAAGGGTCCATGGAAGGCTTAGGTTTGTTTGTGTTTTTTTTAATGTGCATTTTTTAGATTAATCAATTCATGAGCACATGTTTTATAAAAATGTTTTTGATTTGACAGAAAATCAAGAGCCGCAACTACAAAGGGAAGTGGAAGGAACCAATGCTTAACAACCCATGTTTCTTTTCTTTCATATTTGAAGTCTCTGTCACATTCCTATTCTACATACTTGTCCTCGAACATTCTTAAAGAGAAAAAAAAAGTTGCAACCAAATTAGGACAAGCAAAAAAAATAAAAGTGTTACAATTATGTTTAGAAAAGTATGGAGTGAAAGCTTTTTGGAACATAATGAATAATCAGGTCCACAAAAAATCAATGTTAGAATAGCAAGAAGTAAAGAAACAGAAGATAGTGTTTTTTATGGCTTACATAATCATAAATGTATACCATGAACTTGTATTTACATCTTAAAACACAGTATAATTGATTAATAAGACATAAAAAGAAAAAGAGTAAATTGAAATACACAAGTACCTCTGGTGGAAGACCATTCCAGCCACTAATCCTACTCCTAGGAATATTTGACATAAGATTTGAAGATTCCATGGGACTTAGACTTCATGTCGTAGTCTATCAAGCTCATAAACCCTTGATTTGGTAGCATACTTGAAACCCTCACAATCTCTGAAAAAACAAATGGATTAGAAGCAATTAGTTAAAAAGTGGTAGCATGAAATGATTTAAGTTTCATCGGATTCATACATGAATGAAAATACTTCATCAATTCAACTTCAATGATGAGGATGAAGAGGGTGACTTGCTCCAGATCTCGTGCAAAAGACATGATTGCCCTTAGGTTTAAGTCAGGAGCAGTTTCAGGGAAGGCAGTAGCTGCCTTTGCCTTTGGGTTTAAGGCAGAGGATGGAGATGGAAGAAGAGAGGAGATTCATCGAGTCAATTCCAGTGGCCTCAGCCCTTTAGATGTTTATCAACAACAACAGAGACTGCCTTCAGATGAGTTGAGTTATTTTGAGCGGAATCTTTTAATGCAAGAGAGACTTCAACAGAGTGTTTATGAACGCTCCTTATATATGACAGGTGGTGGTCCTATAATGAACCTTGATGTTAATTCCATGGGTCGATTTAATCTGAATATACAGGATCCAAGTAGAGAGACTCTACAGTTTCCATATTGCTCGCTTCTACAACTCATACACATAAAATCATTGTCATATACGAATCCAAGCTAAAAGCCCTAAATTACCCTTTCCTAAAGAAGAAGAAGAAGAAGAAGAAGAAGAAGAAGACGATTTGACTTTCTTGTTCACAATTGAAAACGAAACTTAATTTAGGCTTTCCACTCCTTTGATCCCTGCATACGATAACACAGATAAACTTTTGTAAGCTTTGATGAAACAAAGATAAGTCCAACAAAGGAAACCTAAAAGATTCCAGTAATACAGACTAGAAGGTTAAATATTGCACAAGATCATGAAATTAAGTTTTACCTAGTATTTGTTGGAGAGAATCGCTTGAATGTGGGGTGAGAGAGCTACAACCTGTCTCTAGTTAAAAGCCCCATAATTTATATGGAACGTGGTTGAGAGAATCATGAAGGCAAACGTGGGGAGAACATGAAGGAGCGTAGGAGAATGGGGGAGGGACGAAGAATCGGTAGAAAACGATAAATAGGGAGTTAATGTGGTGAGATGCCATCTGAGGAAGCATCGAATGGCAGAAAACCATAGTAATACTTATAATTCTTAGGGCACGCTATTATGGAAATAAAGATGACTCAAGGGCAGAAAATGGTGGAGAAAAGAGGATAGTTGCCGTCGTTGACCTCCGTATGCCTGCAGAGCTCCAAAAAGGGAGAAAGATCGACAGCCACTCAATCCTTTTAGGGTTTCTTTGGAAGATGATTTTACAAAATACGAAGAAGAAGGAGGAGAGTATCACGAGGGGTTTTTAATTTTTTTTGGGATTTCATTCCCTCCACCTGGCAACTAAAAAAATGGAAGAACGCACGTCCGCGAAAAAAATTATAAAGCGACAGTTTTACATGACACACTTTTATATGAAAGGTGCCCTCCGTGTTTTTAATTTTTTTGTTAGACACTAGTTTTAGGGCACGCATAAATGCGCGTTCTTTATCCTTCAAAATTTGAAAAACTGACATTAATTTTTAGGGCACGCACAAATGCCTGTCCTCTATTAGCGCGTGCCATTGTTTGCGCGTCGTTAAAGAGTTGTTTTCTAGTAATGGGAGAATCAGTTTCTGATCCAACTCTATATTGAAGACTTGAAGGAGCCTTGCAATATCTTACATTTACTCACCCTGATATTGCCTTTGCTGTTCATCAGGTCTGTCTTTTCATGAATGACTAGGGTTTCCCGCACTTTCATGCACTGAAGCACATCGTGAGATATCTTAAGGGACGTTAACACATGGCCTTCATATCTTTTGTTTAGCCTTTGATCGTTTGGTTTCATATTCTAATGTTGATTGGGCTGGTTGTCCCACAACTCACCAGTCTACTTTTGGTTATTGTGTCTATCTTGGCGATGACCTCGTCTCTTGGTCCTCCAAGTGCCAACATGACATTTCTTGGTCTAGCGTTGAAGTTGAGTTCCAGCGGGTAGCTAATGTAGTTGCTGAAACACATTGGCTTAGAAATCTCCCTCTCGAGTTATATTATCCTCATTCTCGTACCATAGTTGTCTTCTATGACAATGTCAGTTCCATGTATTTATCCTCCAACCCAGTACAACACTAAATAACCAAACATATGTAAATAGATTTACATTTTATTAGTGGGTGTGTTGCGATTAGGCATGTGCATGATTTACATGTACCATTTGCCCATCAGTATGCATATATTTTTGCAAAACACTTATCCACACAATTGTGTTTTCATTTCAAAAATAGTTTAAACATTCAAGATCCTCCTGCTCCAACTATGGGGGTGTGTAGGATAGTTTTATATAGTTTTTATATTCTTGTATAGCATAGGGGTTCTTATGTAACATTTACACTATATATACTAATATAATTAAAGAAACACTATTGAATGGGGTTTCCACATATTCTATCAAAGATATTGATTGATGAAGAAAATCATAGACAAAAAATCAGGAGCATAACCAGTTTCGAACTGACGACGCGCAGAAGTAAATCTAATTCTTCACTTTTCTTGTTTTCTCGATGGGCTCAATATTCCTTTATCTTCCTATTTCCTCATAAAATAAGAGATATGAAATGGTGACTTCCAACCATAAGGAGTAATGTAAATATCCAATTTCAAAGTTCTTATACATTCAAAAACTATGATTGTCATGTGTTTATTCAATGGATTCTTTCGCTTGATATAAGAGAGTTTGTAACATGTGAGAGATATTAAGTTGTAATAGAGTTTTTCACATTATTTTGGGTTTGCATCAGTATTTATTGAATAAATTACAATACAATGCTATTGATATCATTTGCAAATAGAAAAAAGACAAATTTGCAAAATGGTCCCTATGGTATGCAAATTTTTGGGTTTTTAGTCCAAACCCTGCGTTTTTTGGATCCATAGTTCTTTTGGAGTGGTTTGTATGTGGTTTTGGTCCTTGGACTTAACTCCCGTTAAGTAGGATCTGTTAAGCCCCCTCATGTGCCTTACACGTGAGGGTGAATTCGTCATTTCATATGTAAGGGACCATTTTTGCATAACCCGTTTTTTGGCTTATTTGAACTTTACCCCCCCCCCCTCACTCTTTTTCTCTTCCTCTCTCTTAACAAACACAAACTCAATTAAACAATAAGCAATTCCACTAAGAAAAACAAACACAGTTGTCGAAGATGGAGCTGCCAGGTCAAACCACAGTACATCATGATCCCAAACAGCTTCATGATCTCATATTGCTACTTTGCTCTGACGTTTTCGTTACCAGATTGTAGATCGAGGGGTGGATTTGAAGAGAAAGTGGCCAAATATTCCAAACAACACCTGGTTTGATCATCTGACTGCAACTTGGAGTAATCAAAGACTTCAAAATCATATCCTTGGGATGAACCAGCCATCGCATCAGCATCATTTGTAATCGATTCCACAATCAACCCTCACATCTTTAATAGTCCAGATTTGGGAGGTTGATGTGGCAGGGATGAAGGTTCGTAATACCCCCAATTTGGCATATTCAATCCATCATCCTCCATTAAACTTATAAATGTACTCACAGAAGCAGATTATCAGCCAAAATCAAAACAATTTCCCCACAGAAACCATTGCCATAAAAGAAACACTCCCACCCTTTCATCCCGTCGACAGTGTAGGAAAAATTGGGAACTAAAACAGAATGGGAAGAGACCAAGACGGTTACGTGAATTTTAGGATGAACTTGAGGCTGTAATCAAACACAAAAATCAGACTGAAAGACTATGAATGGAAGAAAAATAGATCAACATTTTAGGTTGTACACACATAATAGAATAGAATACCAATTTGCAAATCTATCCACCTCAGTACCTTAATAACCCGAAATCAAAACCAAATCCTAAAATCAAAGCCTGAAATCAAACCTCATGAACTAGTAACCTCATAGGTTTCTTCTGAGTGCTTGATTTCTTCTGATCACGGATGAATTATTTCTTATGCGTGCTTGATTTCTTCTGGAAAGCATTGTCACTATTAGAAAAACAGCCTTTTACGACGCTCATTGCACGTCGTAAAATGCTCAGACGACGCGCAAATGGGTGTCAAGGAAGGCCTTGTCATAACAAGAGACGACGCGCTTTTGCGAGTCGTCTAGAGATGACGCCCATTTACGACGCGCATTTATGACACGTAATACGTATCACTAAAGTCGCTGTCAAGAAAGGCCATGTCATAAATGAAGATGACACACATTTTTGCGTATCGTAATTTTTATTTTATTTTTTTAAAACAATTATTTATAGATTTACTAATTTTCAAATTAAATTTACATTTCATGTCTCATAATAGAAAATAAAATACCATTTACAAAAAATACAATCCATTGCACAAAAG